TTTTTTAAATATATTTTTAACTATGTTATATTTTTACTTATCAACTACTATTGAATCCTACACATATCAAAATACCCCTATTTAGCCTGTTAAAATACCTAGAGAGCATTAAAGGCTTATATTGGCAATAACTGTCTTCAATTGGCCATAACTCAATATCTTTTAAGGCCCATAAATTTGCTGAACAGTGTAATATGTCGATTTAAATTTATATCATCATTATTTAGATAAATTCAATTTATTTTATCATAATTTGTTTACTCAAAAAAAAGTTAAACAACTGAACAAAGTGAACAAATATTCCTTGGGCATAACAAGGCTTTGCATGTTCTTTAAAATGAATCCTGTACCTCCTCCTAATTAGCTAAAAGCGAATTTTGGCCATGTCAAAAGTTGGCAAGCTAAACTTTTGAGCTTGGAAAAAAATTCTGTTAAGGGGAGGATTGAAGTTCACGTTGTTGTGTTCAGAGCTCATTAAGGAAGGCGACTTTTGTTGTCTGTGCATTTCATTAAAACTAATGAAAAGCTTGACTAATACATGTCCGTATATATACATATGTATGTGTATAAAAATTTAACAACAATTTAACTCAATGAAAAGGCAGAAATCAACCCAATTGACTGCATTTTTCGCTTTCATCAATCAGCATAAAATTCTTATTTAAAATTTAATTGAATCAAATTCTGCAACATAGTAACAAATTGCTCAGAAGCACATAGAGTTTGTATAGGAAATACCACTAATATATCCATATACGTATTTCTTGTCTAAATTTACGCTGCTATTCTTAGGTAAAACTGAGTGACATGAATTAGCAATACGTTGAGACTAAGTTTAGATGTAGAGTAACATTAAAAAAGTCTTGAAAATTCATGAGAACTATATGATTTTTTATAGTTTCAGTAATTTGTTAAGGCTTCGCATTACGTATACCTAAAAATGGAATTATTATTATATCGCTTATCTCTTATGCGTAATATCTATTTTTATACCCTGAACCCATTGAAAATGGGAAATCAGGGTATAATGGTTTTGTTGAAATGTATGTAACAGGCAGAAGGAGGCGTGGCAGACCCCACAAAGTATATATATTCTTGATCAGGGTGACGAGCTGAGTTGATTTGGCCCTGTCCGTCTGTCTGTCTGTCCGTCTGTCCGTCTGTCCGTCTGTCCGTCTGTCCGTCTGTCCGTATGTTTGAACGCGTCGATTTCCGAAGATATAAGAGCTAGAGACTTCAAATTTTTTGTAAAATGTTCGTAATTACAGCGCGGATATCGAGTTTATCATTAAAATTCGATAACTCATCCCGATCTTTTTTTATCGATGAAAAACCTTATCGAAAACCAGTTATAAAATTATATCTTCTACACCTTTATTGCTAGAGTCTCCAAATTTTNAATGTATGCTTATATGCAATTTATACAATTTCGGTTTTTGTTAAAATTTACCCCCCACCTCTAAATTCACCCCCTCACCCTCACTTTTGTAAAACGCGTATTTCAAATACTAGAGACTTGTGCTTTGGCAATTACATGCATATTCATGTTATAATCATAATCTGAAAGTTTCATGAAGATCGTACGTCCACAAAAAAAGTTATTAAACAATTAAGTTCTCATAGTAAGCGCACACTGCAGCCCATGCGTGTTTATGCGTGGGTGCTTGTATGTGTATGTGTTTGTGTATGTGTGTGTGTTTCTTGTGTAAGCTGAAAGACGCGAAAAATTATTGAAATAGCTAGCACTCCAAGGGTTCAGGGGATCTCGTAGTCGAGCAGTCTCGACTAGAGCTTTTTTACTTGTTTGTAATAGTGTAACCATTTAGTCAAGGCTTTTCTATAAATTGTCTATTTAACTAGGCAGACAAAGGTGACGACATGGCAGACAGCAATTAGCACCTGCTCCAACCTTGACTGTGAACTTAATTGATGTGCATTAATCGAAGGGCTGCTGTGACTGCCTGTGGCGCGCTGTGCTTAATAAAGTTTACCCGTTTCCACCGTTCATTTATGGCCAACTGCAATCAACAGGTAAGCAGAACGAAAGTGATTTCCAGCCGAAGCCAACGACCAGCGAATTGCAAAGCCAAGCAAACTACGATTCACAATATGGCTAAGCAAAATGTTGTCTATGCGAAATATGGTCAAAAGCCACACGAGTTTTAGTTCTCGCTGTGGTAGCTGCTGTTTCATGCTCGCTTAAATTTTCAATGGTGGGCATATTCGGATCTCTTAGTTGCCTCTTTCTTTCCATATGGATGTAGATGTCTGCCATATATATATACTCTTATACGCACCCTCCTCAGTGAGTGTTCCGAGTGAATCTCTGTTAACCTGCTCAAGCAGTTAGTCCCCCTCCCCATCAGTTTTATCATTATTGAAATTAAAATATTTTAAGCGAGTATTATGCAGTTGGTAGGCCAAGCCCCATTGCAATGTTCTCACTGGTTTTTTTCCTTTTTATAGTGGTTTCATTGTCAGGCCATAAAAGACAAAACGTCTGCAAATTGTGCAAACACACACAGAGAGGCGATCATAAAAAGTAGCCAGGAGATTTTTCTTTTATATACACATAATTTGAGAATAAGCGCAAGTTAAAGAAGCAACAAATGGCCAATAAAAACAAAAAGTGAAAACTGGTTTCGGCCACGCAACTACAGTAAACACTCACACACACACGCACATATATAGAGACAGACGAAAGCCAACTTAAACAGTCGTTACGCACATTTTTATTGCTCTCGTTTTTGTTGCTTCTGCTCCGAATTTCAATTACGGCTGCACAAATTGACATTGAATTCGAGCCGCCAGGCTTGAAATTGATGATGAAAGCAATCCCTGGTCAATGGCTCAATTCAATGGTCAGTCAAGTGTTGCAGCAGCCAGAAACGTTCGGGACTCATTTCTCTCTGTTCAGTTCAGCAAATTTACCCAACAAAAAAAAAGGGTTAGGAATGCTCTAAAAGGGCGTCAACGACTTGGAGTTACCCATGCATGCAAATACATGAAAGTGTTAAAGTTATTTTCACTATTTTTAGTTATGATGGATTTATACATTGTTTTCAGCATTGTAATAGTATATTTGAGTATTTTTGAAGGGGTATCTTTACAGTCTTTTATACCCCTTACAGCATTCGCTGCTGGGCATTATTCGCACTGCAATGCAATTCGAAATTCGCTTTCGCATTTCACATTTCGCTTTTTCCTGCAGCCGAAAGCCCAAAAATAAGCACAATAAAAGGTTCGCGCAAATGCCAATCGACAAAATCCATTTACAAAAAAAAATACAAATAAAACAAAAAGAGCAGCGAAGCCAAAATGCAAACAAAAAGCTGCCGCTGCCGCTACAGCTGCGGCAGTGGGGCAAGCGGCCCCAGACAGTGGGGCAGGCAGTGGAGCAGACGTTGCATAAAAGAGGTGACGCAGTCGCCGAGTGCATTGAGCCGCATGAAAGAGGCGCAACTACAGAAATGAACGGAAATCGATTTCGGTTATTTCTGCACAGCGCAAAGCGCATTTCACTCGCACACTCTACACACATCTCCCCCCTCTCTCTCTCTCTTTAGCCCTCGTTATGTGACATTCTGCATAACATGCTTTAATCCAAAAGCAGTTGACAATCAAATACCTTACCATCAACTGGGGAATCAATAAAGTACAGTAAGCAGCTCTTTAGTTAGTCAAAAGAACTTGGATTCAATTCCGCGCTTATCAGCTATGGCTGAATTACAATCAAGCTATCAATTTATAGCTCAAATTATGGTTAAGTTTCTAAATTATACAAAAAACTAAAGAGTCGAAGACCTTCAACAACATTATTTATTTGCGCATAGCACATATGCCCTTACAAGGTATGCTCTTACAGGGTATACTCTTATTGTTTGCTGTGCCTTTTGGCTTTGCCGCTGCTACGTCTACTACGTAATAAAGACAGACGCCAAGACTTGTGACTGCTAAAGGTTTTTATAATTCATAACACGACGACAACGACAAGAGTCGAAGAAGCAGACGGAGAAGTTGGCGGTAGATCTTGACTGGAGACGTTGGAGAAGGAGCTCCGCTTGTCACTCAATGGCCCACCAGCAGACAGACTGACAGACAGACACRGAGAGTGAGCGAGAGAGGAAAGGAAAAAGAGACAGACAGACAAGACAGACTGTCTGATGTGCCTTATTTGGCAGCAATTCGTTGATTCGCTGCGATTATTTACTTGACCTACCACAATCGATTGCATGTTGAAGACGCTTCGATTGCCAAAGCTAGGGTATTAAATAATTATATATTGCTGCAAATGTTACTTTTTATTTTTTTCCGATTTCTTGCTCGAAAACTAAAGAGTAACATCGTGTAACTAAGAGTTGAGAGTATAGATTATAACTCTTATCGGTAAAGAGAGCCAGCAAATGAGCTCTAAGAAATGAACTCGCATGAATCAGTGAGGTTTAACATATTCCCAGTTCTAGATTTCTCTGAATTCAACCAAAAAGAAAGTTTTCAAAGTAAAGCCGTATTTCTTTAAAAGCTATTACCCAAAATGCCTAATTACCTATTCTAACTCCCACACCTCATTCATCAACTTAGAATCGGGCCATTTCATCCAAATAAAATCTCACCTTAATTATTGCTACCAAAAATCAATTTGCTCAAATTCCTCGAATTCTTGCGTTCTACCGCCCACAATCCTAGTAAACTATACATTATAATAAATTAATATAAATAAAGTCCAAGGCAAAATGCTAAATATTTCGAGAATTAAAAAAAATGCATATTTAGCTTTGTCACAAAATTGTTCAAGAAGAAAACGATTTCCGTATGATTGACGCACAGAAAGCAACCCACGTAACAGTAAATATTTGTCGATGCAAAACATAATGAAAAGTAATCTATTAAATAAATAAATAATTTTCAAATATTTGTAAACATTGACAAGGCGAGAAACACAACAGCAGCAGCAAGCACAGACTTCATAATGCTCGCTCTATGAAAATGTTTAAAAATGGATATAAATGAAGTACTTGACTAGGATATATCATGAATGGGGTCTGCCACGCCAACAGACTGCAGTTACATATTGCATTGTCACAAAGCCAATATACTCATTTGTTTATCACCATATGAACGAGCATTCAAAATCAACTCGACAACAACTTGATAAGCCAAAGACTTTGGGCTCAATGCGTGGGCAAAATATCGTTAAAGTTGACGTGACTCGGACTTGTCGGCATTTTATGAATGAAAATTGTGTTGGGTGTGTGTGTGTGTATGTGTATGTGTGTGTGAGCGCTGACCGGGCCAAGAGTTTGTGGCACACACGCAAGCCTGTCATTACGGGCATTTTAGCCAAGTTTTGTTACGGCGTTGGCGTTGAATTTTCGGTTTGTGAGCTGCTCCCCACTCTACCCTCCCTCTCTGCCCCTCTGCCAATCACCCCTTCCCTCTTCTCGGCGCTTAGGGCATTGGCTACGCGCCTCGGAGTCCATGAATGAGCCATTATTAGCAGACAGGCGAATGCGTACTTAGAGGCCTAATCTCTTCGACTAAGCAGAGAGTGTGCAACAAATTGAGGCAAGGGTTTCGAATTGAAAGCGTGGCAGCAACTATTAAAAGACTTGGAAAACACACAAATATAGGTGGGAAATTAAGCATGTGTGTGTAGGGTGAGTGTGTCTGTGTGTGTGTAGCGAGTGCAAAAGCCAACACTTTCCAGTTTGCCTGCGAGCTGTAGGCAGCAGCAGCAGCAGCTGCTGTGAAATGTGCAGCGAGCAATCTTATGAGCGCTACACTGAGAGAAAAGTAGTCTACAATAAAATATAAACATTAAAGAAAGTGTATAAAGAACAAAAAATATTTATGTTTATGCTGTTCATTTCTCTCAGTGTGTTTTGTTGCTCTGCTTATATTCAGTTACACAACATTTTTCTAGATTTATTTACCTTATTAATTAAACTGATAGAAAGTTCTAGTAATTAATTTTGTAGTTGCTATACATTTCTCTCAGTGCATCTATTTAACTGGCAAACGCTGTGCCCACAACAGCAGCCAAAGAGGCGTTGCAACAACAACAAACAGTCAGTGAATGTGCCAAAGGCAGCGGCAAAACTGGAAAAGTTCTCACACACACACACACCTATTTATATATATAGTGTATAAACTCTTGATCTTTCCAATAGCCTACAAAGCAGCAAAAAAAAAAAAAAAAGCTGCAACACATCCTACACGAGTTTAAAACGTTGCTCAGCTGCTTCTCACAGCCGCCATTCATGCAACTAAAAATTTGTTGCTGTTGCAGTTGTTGTTGCTGTTTGATAATTTCTGTGCTTCCCGTAGAGAGCTTGTGAATCTTAAGGTGAGCTAGAGCAGCCAGCAGCCAGCAGCCAACAGGCAACAGGCAGCAGCTTAGCTGTTTGGCTAGCCAAACGGGTTCAGCTGTTCAGTTCGGTTCGGCTGCCACGTCCTACATAGCGAAATTGTTTTTTGGGTTAGCAACTTTTTTTAACGTAGTGGCACAATATGCAAAGCGAGTAGCAGGCAGCATTTTTTTTATGACTAAAGGCCATCGTGGAGAGTTCTATCAAAAAAATTGATTTTCTATATAGGCCGGCGGGGGCCCAAATAATTGAGTCGAGTCGTGCGCTAATAATTTGCACCTTTTTTGTGTTTTGTTTCTGATTTAGAAAGTTGCAGAAGAGTGATAAAGCGATGTAAAAAGAAGAGGGCAACGACTGCATAATACTCGCTTAGTATGCAACATATTATAAATTTCCCTTGGAAGACTTTTAGGACTCAAAACATGATTTAAGATCATGGAACAAGTAAATGTTTAATGGACTGAATGAAAGGCAAGCAATATACCCGCTTGATTACTAACTGAACGAGCATATAACGTTCGGAATGAAAGTGTGTTGCAGGCGGGATGAACGAACGAACGCCTTRGCTGAAGGCCTTTATGCTGCTGCTACTAAGTAATAACGTTTTTATTTGGCCAAAGTTGAAAGTTTTGCAGCGCAATGAATCGACACTTAAAATTGAATGCGCAGCCAATTGAAAATCGTGTGGCATATGGCTGAGAATCTAGATAGATAGATAGATGGATGCCACGATTTGTGTATTCATTCATCAAGTAATTTAATAACTTGACAGCCGTGCAATTTGCATTTGGCGTTCACTTCAATTACAGAATAAGAAAAACAAAAACAAAATAAACCCGAACAGGCGATCGCATTGCCACATGCCACATGCGGGCGGAATACAAGTAGCAGGCACTGTGCTGAGACTTGAAATACAAAACTACAAAATGTAACTGCAACGGCGACTGCAACTGCAACTGAAGCTTGCAACACAAGCGAAACGCTTGAAGAGCTCTTAAATCATATGTATGTATATACATACATACATATACTCATGTATATGTATGTAGACACATACAGACCGCTAACAAAGGCCAATCTCGAATGACAGTTGAATGTCTGTTGACATCAGCGCGTGCCGCAGCCACAGAAAATCAAAATCAAATGGGGGGACTTTATACAAAAAGCTATAATATAATACCTTCTATACATTGTGATGACTGCAAGATGAGAACCAGAATGAGAGAGAGAGAGGAATATACATAGAGAGAGGTAGAGAGACAGAGTCAAAGAGTCAAAGAGAGAGAGGAGAGTCAGAGAGAAGGATAGTAAAGGAGAGATAAAGAGTAAGAGAGAGAGAGAGAGAGAGAGAGAGAGAGATCCGCGATTATTAAACTAATTATACGAAATGAATATCATCATCATTCAGTTGTTCATTATGTATCGAAGATTTATGCAAGAAGTGTTCGTATAAAATGTATAGATATATATATCGATATATAGTTTGCATTCCTACTTCAGCTGCAACCCCTTCTTCGTTTATTATAAATCAAACATTAAGGATATATCGAGGATTCTCACAGCCTCTCACAATCGCCAATGATCTCCATGCAAATGCTCTCCGGGCGCTTAACATTCTTCTCGTCGTCGAAGGCTTCCAAGGTGACGACAATCTTATAGCGGCCGTGCAGAGTGGTGCCACGGACATTGGTCAGCACCATATTTATGTCGAAGGGCGAATGAACTAGCTTGGTCTGCAGCGAGTGGGGAGAGAGAAGAGCAAATGATCAGCAGGGGATCTAGGCTAAGCAATCTGAGCACTTACTCCCTTATGGTTGACACATTTGGATTTCATGGCGTCCATGTCTTCAACATAGCGAGTCCAATACTTGAACCAGTACTGATCCTTATCGTACATAAGAGAGCAAAAGTCCTGCGTGGCAATGCTGAAGACAGTGGGTTGCCAAATGCCTCGATCCAATTGCATTAGACGTGCTGAAGCCTAACGACTCGATTCATTCATTTAACTTGTAACATTCGATGGCAATACAATTTACCGTTATACGATCTGTTGGCTCTACATCCCAAACGGTTGTCACATTGCCCTCCACATGTATCTTATCACCATTCAGTGAGAATGTCAATTCATCCAAATTGAACAGGCCACTTGCACCTTTTGCACCTGGCGGATTTTCCAGGCAGTCGGTGAACACATCAGGATCATCAATAAGCATCTCGTAATCAACTGCCAGGACATGGCAGAACATTTGAAGGGTCAGCAACAGCAGCGACGGCAGCAACATTTTAGACAACTTCTGTAACTCTGTTACAGATTTCCAGCTATTTATATAGCTGGCTAATTGGCCATGGCACATTGTAAAGGTAGGCTAATCAATCTTGTCATTTTACATTTTACACTACAACTTGTTATGAATTGTACATAATTTACGATACGATCGGCGAGTTGCGAAACACGACAAACAAGTTATAATTCTGATACGGATGAGTCGTTACAGAGGTTATTTACAATTCAACGAGAAGTGGGGGGAGAGATCTTGAGATCTTGAGGTAAGGATGAGCAAAGGTTACTTTTAATATACTAAAATATATGAAAAGCATATAAGTATGAAACAAATCTTATCAATCAGCCCTCGTATAGCTGCGTTATACATTTAGCTCATATTGCTGATATATCTTAAGCTTTTGGCTGACACTGAATGCTGATTTGTATACATTTGGCAAACGCAGACAAACCCAACACACAGACAGACAGACAGACAGACAGACAGACAGAGAGAGAGAGAGAGGGATAATATTTTATGCATATAATTGCCCGTGTAGACAACAACAATAATGATAACAATAACAATGACGCCAACTACATTGACAACAGCAACAAGCTTGTTGTTGTTGTTGTTGATGCCACACCCACACACAGCACACGTAATTGACACGAGTCTCGTCTCTCGACTTTATCTCGGATCTAATAGAACATTTTTCTGTTACTCTCGCAATTTCATAAAAACCGTATTATTAATTGCAGCTTGTTCTGTATACCCTGTAAATACATTGTGGGATTGTGGTAATTGGGTATACTAGCTACATTTAGAGAGATAGTTTAAGTACGACTCGCAGAACGCATTGATAATATAAGGATCAGTATATGCATACGAGAAGCTTCCCTTCTGATGCACACGAGTAGAGACTGCTTCAGCGTTTGTATAGCTTCTTTGCCAATTTGGAATGTAGAATCGAGCAAAAGAAGAAACCACAGAGCAACTCCAAGTTTGGCAATCACGATTGTATATGGAACAATGGGTATGTGTACAGTGTGTTTGTGTATAGATTTAGAGTAAATGGTATGGGCAATTCAATCACGCAACATCATTTCAATATGCACAGCATGTCAAAGTGCCAAGCTAAGCGACAGACAGTCTCATCAAAGCAACAGCAACTCTCGCATCTACGTCAGCAACAACAAGAGCAACAGCAACAATTGCCCGCAGTTTGCTTTAAACAATAATGCAAAGTAATTAATATAACGACTTGTCTTCTTCATTTCCATTGTTGCGCTGAAGCTGAAGAGGAAACACTTTTCGCATGCCTCCGATTACAATCTGCGGGGGATCATTGTCCACATCCGAGCAACAGAGAAGGAGGCAGATAGAGGGATTATTAGTGGGTGAGAGCGAGAGAGGCTATTTCTTACACAGTTTTCACATACTTTTTACCAAGTGTTAACCGAAACAAAAGATCTTTCACTTCAGGCGAACGACAAAGATTGCAGTTGTAATCGAAACTGTTTAAGGTTATTAAACTTAATTTTTAGTTAAAAGTTAAGGCATTTGTTTGCCTTAGTTTACACAGGTATGCAGGTATGGTCGACTGTATACATAGAAAAACTGATACTCACAAATAAACTCTTTTGTAATGTGTGAGCAGGCATCACAAACCGAGCTAGATAAGCTATAGCAACTCTATAAAGCTGTTTCTCGGAACTAAAATGTTTATGATTCATTGAAATTAGGTGTAAATAAGGAACACTAACTATTACTAATCAACAATAAAACTAGGTAACAGAAGAAAAAACTGAAAGCCTGGTGGTTCTATTATCAAGAGATTATGCTGTTGTTGTACCATAACCACTTGGGAATTGTAAGCCAATTTGAAAAGATTGAATGCTTGAGCAACATTCTGTTGTCTGTCTCTGCTGTCACAAGACATAAATAATTTTCTATAATTCAACAAATATATAGTATATATTGCATTCCTTCCAGTACATCAATTGTATCGTTACCCTAGTCAATGTCACTTGAGCTCTATTCATCCTCGCCTTCATAGCCTTGTGCCAGTTTGCTAGTTTCTCAGTTCGCCTGGCTTTGCTGCACATCCTGTGCACTCTCTTTGAGTGCGGGCCAACAAAAGCGACATTTAATAAAAACAAATAAGTAAAAAAAAATAAAGAAAAAACCTCAATACAAATGCGAATTGCACTGTGCCATTTCCACAAGTTGAGCTGCGGCCTTGAATGCGGCTTTTATCCATTTCCAAGCAATCAGAGAAGAAATAAAATAAAACGAGATGTTGTCATCGACTATTGCGTCAGCGCTGTGATTATAATTGTTGCTGTTGCTGCTGTTGTTGCTGTTGTTGCTGCTGCCACTGTTCAGGTTGAGCGCTATAAATAACAGCTTATTAGCCATAGTCCCACATAAATGTGCGTCTATTTCTAGACTACTCCCGCACAGGCAAAACAACAAAATGTTCAATTCTAATACAAAAATACAAAATATATATATATTTAATACAAAAAATGTTTCGCCCAACGTGGGGCTCGAACCCACGACCCTGAGATTAAGAGTCTCATGCTCTACCGACTGAGCTAGCCGGGCGATGATAACGCAACGTGTGAAAGCTCTAACAGGCAAAGCGCGAAAGGAATGCAAGAATGGACGAAGGAACAAATTTTCGAGGTTTGCTTAAGAAGATGTCGAATTAATGCTGACATATATATAAAAAATATATATAGAATAATACATAATGCGAGGGTCACTCAATAAGTTATACACAGCCATGTAAGATGGAAAATAACAAATTAAATATTAATAGTTGTTCAATTCATCATACATCAAGATTTATGAGTACAATATATAATCGCCCTTATATTCACAACAATATTCAACAATTTGTGTCATAAAGTCCTCCATCCAATCTGTGACTCGCACCTACGACCTTGAGATCAAGACTCTTAGGCCCTAACTGAGGTGAAAAATGCATAACTTGATTATTAACACAAAGCCTAAGCCATGAATGCAGCAAACAAATGCGGAATGTTTTCCAAATTAGCTTGATTAGTAAACAAATGAATTGAGCGTGAAACCAATTTTCGGCATTTGCATAAAAATTATATCAATTTCTACACAAAAGTTGTTCATATGTAAATACAAATGTTAATATGAGCTACCTTAGCTGTGCCTAGCCTTCCAGCGTAAAACCAAATCTATGTTTTAGTATACCTCAAATCATGTTTTTACATTGTAATTGAATATGCATGCATGAAAACAATTCAAGCTACAAGAGAATACTATTAGGAACTGGCTCCATATGGGAGTGGGAGAAGTCCTTAATGGAAGGGACGCATCATTACAAAGTCGATGGGTCGATGGCGAAGCTATTTAAAAGCAACGTGTCACATGCGGAAGCGTCAGTGCAATATGGCAAAGCACACCGAGGACAAGCAGCAACAGCAGGAGGATCACAAGGAGAAACAGGAGCAGGATGAGGCAATTGATTGGTGGATGGAAGTGTGCAAGGAATCGGCCATACATGGAATGCCGTATCTCGCCCGCAAGGATCTCCACTCTCTCGAGCGCATCTTCTGGCTGGCCATGATCATAGCCTCAACTTACTATGCAGTCAACAGCTGCATCGCCCAATGGCAACGATACAAGGATAATCCCATCATCTACGAATATGAGTATATGTTTGCCTTGCGCTCGTTTCCCTACGCAGGCGCCACAGTCTGTACGCACTATTATCAGCTGCCCTCCAGTATAACCCATAAATTGCTCGTTGAGTAAGTATGCAGAGTCAGTAGAGACTGTTAGAACTAATATCGTAATCGACAGCATTTGGGAGAGCGACTCGTCTGAGATCAGTGAAACCGGGATTGACGACGAAAGTATGCAATATTATGCCAAATTTTTGCATGTCTTGCATCGCCTGCAATACGACAACTTGGAGACATTGATACCCTATGAAAATGATACGACTCTGCAGAATTTGCCCTATGTCCGGATTTTGAGGAAACTGTTGAAGAACACCGTACCCAAGCAGCAGGAAGTGCCCGAACTTGTGTCCAGCCTAACCGAAATGGGCCTCTGCCTAACAACGAGCCAGCTGGCGAGCTTTGGCTTTATTCTTCAGAAACATGTAGAGCAAGTATAATATAAATTAATAAGACGGCATATCCTTCATTTATACTATCCATTGATTAGGCAAAACCTCACAGTGCCCGTTCGAATGTGCACCTACTTTGACAACTGTCGCACCCAAATCAAGCCAGCCGTATCCGGAACTTTGGTAACTCTGGTAAGTAGCTTCCACAGATCGTATAAATAATACTTCATATATGCATTGCATTTGTCTACTGACTCAGTTTATTCACGATGTGTACGAGTTTTTGATGCCGAATGATCGTCGCACGGTGAGCATCAACATGGACACCATAAACTCATACGAGATTACGCTGATTCTCAACTCCTTTTCGGCCGAGACGGATGTGCGCAATGTGCCCATCGCCTATCGCAAGTGCCGATACATCGACGAGAACAATCTCAAGTACTACGCTGTAGGTGTCCTGCATATCTACTTTCAATTAGTTTCTGATCCTACTGCAATTTGCAGCCCTATCATCCCAGTTTGTGCCGCATGGAGTGTCGCATCGATCGAGCCCTGGCTCTRTGTSATTGCAAACCCTTTTTCTATGTGGCAGGTCCCAAGGATCGCATTTGCAGTGTCARTCAAATGGTGTGCCTGGCGCGTAAGAAGTGGCTSGAGCAGCCCTGCGATTGCATGCCCCTCTGCAAGGAGATCAGCTTTACTGTTACCGAGAAAAAGGAAATAGTAAGTTTACAACTTTCGTATATTCCCCTCTTATTCTTAATTATTATTCCAAAGAATGGCGTTAGTGGCTTTGAGGGCACTATTGTCCTCACTCAACAACTCCCAAAGATGGGCATCAAGCGTCGCGTTGTCTTCAGCATGGATCAGCTGCTCATGTCGATTGGAGGTGCCATAGGCCTCTTTCTAGGCGCCAGCTTTATGACCATATATGGCTTGAGCTATCTACTCATGTACTACCTGGTTGTCAAATGCAAATATCGACCAAAGCTCAAGTGGGATCAGAATCCTTCCATCAAAATTGCCTAATGAGATGCGAAAATACAAATAAATAAAAAGTCTCTTAAAGCTTCCTTCCCGAAGTACTACAAACAACTACAGGCAGTGTTTACTTACACTTAGGTTTTGAGGGATTTCTTCCATTTTTATAAAAGACAAATCCGGTTTTCAATCAAAGCCTCCCCAGCATTGATTGCAGCAAGAAATTGTTGAGTGGTTGCTTATGCATTGGCTAATTAATAATCAAATGAATCAAGTGTGAATCAAATTTGAATATTTGCATAAGAAATTATTTCATTAATTACGAGCATTTGAATGCAAACGATGCTCAGATGTAAAAACAAGTGTTAATATGACCTTGAAACTGAACAAATTTTTACGATTTTCTTTGATCTTTGGAAAGCCAAATCTATATTTGAATATGAAACTGAATGAGGCCGAAATAAATATCATTTTAATATGGTTCACATTTCACTCACAATTTAATTGAATATGCATGCAGCAAAGTCATTAGCGCTACAACAGAAAACCATTAAGGAGGAACCGCTTGTTGTGGGCGGAGTCCCTTGTTTGTAGAGCTCATCATTTCTCTAGGACTCGACAGCAGAGCTAGTTAAAATGGAGTGCCACAAGCAGGAACACTCAGTGCATCATGGCAAGTCAGAGCGAAAACAATAACGAAGAGGACCAAGAGCAGGAGCAAGAGCAGGAACAGGAGCAGGAACAGGAGCAGGAGAAGGCTGAAGCAATGGATTTCTGGAAGGAAGTGTGCAAGGAATCGGCCATACATGGCGTGCCATATCTCGCCCGCAAGGATCTCCACTTTCTCGAGCGCATCTTTTGGCTGGCCATGATCATAGGATCCAGCTACTACGCAGTCGACAGTTGCCTGTCGCAATGGCTGCGCTATCAGAATAATCCCATTATCTACGAATACGAATATCTATTTGCGCTGCGCTCGTTTCCCATTCTAGGGATCACCCTCTGCACGCAGTACACCCAACTGCCTCCCTACTTAACGTATAAGCTGATTAACGAGTGAGTAAGATCTGCGCGTCAAGCAAGTAAGTGATCTGATATCATAATTGACAGTATCTGGGACAACGACTATGCTGAGCTCCCTGAAGTGACTATGCCCACCAAAAAGGTGAACTATTACACCAAATTTTTGCACGTCTTGAATCGATTGCAATACAACAATTTCGAAACATTGATACCTTATGAGAATGACACGACTGTGCAGACTTTGGATTTTGCCCGGATGTTAAGGAAATTGTTGGTGTACACAATACCGAAGCAGCCAGAAGTTCCCGAATTTGTGTCCACCCTAACCGAAATGGGCCTCTGCCTGACAACGAGCCAGTTGGCGAAATTTGGATTTCCAACAGAGAGACAAGCTCAGTAACTATGAATATCACATTCTATCCATCTTTGATCCACAATATTCTCCGTTGATCAGGCAAAATCTCATAGTGCCCATCCGAATGTGCACCTACTTTGACAACTGTCGCACCCTTATTGAGGCACCTATGCCTGGCACTACGGTCACTCTGGTAAATAGTTTCCTTAGTGTGTAAAAATAGTTCTTGGTAGGTATATTTATTCACTCAGTTTGTCCACGATGTAAATGAGTTTCTGATGCCACACGATCGTCGCACCGTGGCCCTCGACATGGGTAACAAGAGCACCTACCACATACAGTTCATGCTCAACTCCATTTCGGCGGAGAACGAGGTGCGCAATGTGCCCATCGCCTATCGCAAGTGCCGATACATCGATGAGAACAATCTCAAGTACTATGCAGTAGGTGTCGTGCACATCTATTTTGCACCTTCGTCTCCTGCTTCATACACAATTTTGTACTACACATTACAGCCCTATCATCCCAGCCTTTGTCGCATGGAGTGTCGCATCAACCGAGCCCTGGCTCTGTGCCATTGCAAACCCTTTTTCTATGTGGCAGGTCCCAAGGATCGCATTTGCAGTGTCAGTCAAATGGTGTGCCTGGCGCGTAAGAAGTGGCTSGAGCAGCCCTGCGATTGCATGCCCCTCTGCAAGGAGATCAGCTTTATTGTCACCGAGAAAGTTGATTCAGTAAGTTTCCCCTCTTATGGCTTAGTTTCCCCACTTTCATCTCATTTGTTATCAGAATGGCGGTGGTGCAGAGAACTCACAGAACTTTGACCGCAAGTTTATCTTGAATCAAGAGCTACCCAAGATGGGCATTAAGCGTCGCGTTGTCTTCAGCATGGATCAGCTGATCGTGTCATTCGGAGGGGCCATAGGCCTCTTTCTGGGCGCCAGCTTTATGACCATATACGGATTGAGCTACCTACTGATGTACTATCTGGTTGTCAAATGCAAATATCGACCAAAGCTCAAGCGGGACCAGAATTCCCCTATCAAAATTGCCTAGACCCTGAGTTCGGGTTGGTTCAGACACTTAAATTTGCACAATTTTTCTGTATTCAAGTAAAAGCACAATTTTCTCGTTTTACCGTTTGCTACGCACGCATTAACGGGCCTAATGCGCATATGTGAGTTAAAGACAATAAAATATCTTAAGACGCACTCGACAGCAATTGCCTTGCCCAAAAGGCCTGAGTGGGGCAGCAAGAAAGGGAAGTCGGAAAAGTGCCAACGGGGCACAGAAAGCGATTTTCACTTTTGTGACAATGACAAAATATATAATAATATGATGGACTAGCAGATACGCATTCAAATTCATGAAGTAACATGGTTGAAAACGAGCAAATAGAATGGGATATGTTTAAAAACATATACAGTTCGATCAATTAGAGTGACAATTATTATTATCTTCATTATTATCTCTTCCATTATCGTATCACTATTCTCTCTCCTATTATAGGCCAAAGCCAGGTTTCTCTAACACATCTGTCTCTCGTTTCCCCAGCTTGTCATATCCAATATTTTCACATTGCTTGGCTACAGGGTATCATTATTATAGCCGCCATGTGTCTGACAATGCACACTTAGCGCGTCTCTCCTGTTACACATTTCAGCGAGTCCCATCCAAACGCGACAATTTGACAAACTGCCTAGCTGAGAGTTAGATTGGATGACTGACTGAGAGACTGACTGAATGACAGACTCACGAATTTGCAGTTAGCAGACGAGTCGCTTGGCAGTCAGCCGAGCGCGACGAGTGAAGAAGTTGAACAACCTCTAAAAAACAGCGCCAATTGCTTAAAAAAATAATAAGAAAAACATAAAAATAAAAGCCAGATTAAGCAACAATTACAATGTGGCAGTGCTCTGAAAAACTTTGGACTGCACTCTAATTGAAATTAGCCGCATTTAATTGCAACTAGTTGAGAGTCCCGTTAGCAGAACATTTAGAATTAAATATAYAAAGTATTATACTTATATATTCACGTATTTCTATTTATTTAGTATTCGCATTTCCATCCACCTTGGCCCGCATCTTGGGTGCAGGGGCATACAATTTGTTTCGGTCTGCTGGCATTTAAGATCTAAGCTAAATATACGCAAACATCTATATAGAGGAATAGAGAGAGACAGAAAGAGAGAGGAAGAGCGAGACTTAACTATGGCAAACGCAGCCAAGCAATTAAAACACATACCAAAAATATAAAAACAAATTTAAGTTGCACGGAAATTGGAATTGAAGCTAAGTCTGTTTAAACAGCAACAGCTGACATTTGCATTTTGGCCAGGTCGAGAGACTAGACAACAATAAAAGGTAAAGGCCGGGAGCATAAGCTGCTCGACTTGCCAAATACCATGGAATATAAGACAGATAGGAAAAGTAAGCTAGGCGTATCTCTGTATACCCTACAATTGTTCGATATGCCGCTCGGCTGATTAGCTAGCCAGCCGATTAGCTAGCATTGGCACAGGGTATATTACTCATTATTCATTACTTATTACTCATTAGATACAGCTAAATCTACGTGGCCAATACACCCCACAGCTGCTAATTAGCCCGGGGTATATTGCCAGCCAGACGCTTTAGCTTAACCAAGCGCCGCAGTTGTGGCAGTAACTAAACCAAATGATGATGCTGCTGCACATGCTTCAAGGCATGTTTCTGCTCTAATTCGCACACAGGCCAAGCAACAACAACAGCAACAACAGCAGCAGCAGCGGCAGCGACTACAGCTGGAAAACAAGCCAAGAGCTAGTAGCTATAGCTAGAAAATAGCTAACAGCTATGAAGTACAACGAACTGCTGCACAATTGCGTGGTCACCAAAAAAAACCAAACATACGAAAGAAAAATAAATAAGTTTCATAAATACGAAATGCAGTCGCCCGCATCCACAATTCCTGACAGCTGTCTGCATCGCCGTTTGTATCTCTGTATCTGCATCTGTAGTTGTATCTGTATCTTTACCTGTAAAAATAGCTAAAAGCAGGCGCGGCACACTTTTATCTTTGGGCACCAACCAGCGAAGGCGTCGCAATGCACAACACCTGTCGACAGCCCAGTCGGAAATGGTCTCAAGACATTTCTGGAAATCAAGCCGAAATTTTTTCCTTCGAGCAGTTGAACCCAAAATAGTCAACTATAAATACCCTGGAACCCATAAACTATGTTGCATGATCTCTGTCGAGTCGCGTTGATCTCTCTGTCTAAAGAGCTTTGACTAAAAACCCAGACTAAGGCACAGAACCTTTAGCTGCTATATATAGTGATATACACCCTATATATTTATCTATGCTCTCTTGTTAATTGAAGCGCCATTAAGTTCAGCTAATATAAGAAACATTTATGTATAGAGCGAGTGGCGTCATGATTGCTATAAATTATTGATACACTGCAATTAAATAGATAAATGTAATGAGTTTGGTGTGGCAATAGATTAAGCAACGCAGCAATAGACGGTCAAGAGACTGCTATACCGAAGCATAAATACCCTGTAATGAGCAGATTCCCATCTTAATGAGAAAGCGAGTAACTAAAACATATACCCTGTTATATACATGCAACTGAAAGGAATCCGAAAAATACCCTGTAATAATAACTATTCCATATCAATCATAGCAATAAACTAAGAAATTGAAGAGTATCATAGGTGATTATCAATGAAAAGGTATTACGTTTATGATGTTATATGACTACTCGATAAATATCCTTTTCTTACTTAAAGAATATAAAAACATATGCTCCTTGCCAGCAAGATTTACAGGGCATCAAACAGTAATTAAGAATGGAAGCAAACATATCTATATTTTTTATTGAATTCGCATAGATTAATTGAATCACTTACTTTTGGCATTTTAGCCAATAGACAGAGATAGAGGCAGAGAAAGAGAGAATAAAAAATCAATTAGACGATTTTGTTTTCATTCTCTGACATATTTATGAACAGTAAAGCCTTGAGAATTGGCAAGCAACAGAGTTGTGTATCTTTTATCGCAACGGAATTGTTTATCTGAGACTTTTGTTTATTTCGCACACAGTTCGCATTGCTCTGACCTTGGCTTTAATTATTTCTGCTGGGCTTCGGTTAACTTCATTTTATTCTGTATACCCTGGAAAAATGCTCTTGACACACACACCTGACCTTTCGAGTTTCTGATTTATTTAGTTTATATGCTTTGTTATTCAATAAGTCTCGAGCGAAAAGCGACAACTGTCAACAATTGGCTGACACGTCTCTAGTTCCATTTGACTACGTTTCATTTCGCTGGAACTGGAAACTGGAACTTGCATTCTCGCTGGAAAGGTGAGTGATTCGTGAGGAAACTCAACTAATGTTTCCTCCAACTTGTGTAACACAGATTTCCGGCTAATTATTAAACTTCCGCGCTTTTTGCTTACTTTTTAGCAAGAGAATTATCGATAAATGTATCGATCACTTACCTTCATGTCATTGATGATCTGTTGAAACAAGCTGCCCAGCGCCGAGCTATCGCGTTCGAGACTAAGATCCATTTTCCTTTCGGGTTCTTCTTCTAACTAAATATATATGTATATTTATATTTATGTGTATACATAAATATATATGCGCGAATGCAAATCGATCGTGTTTTCGTTTTCGTTAGTCTCGGCTTGACTTTTCACTTTGTTTTCGTTTTGTTTTTCCCAATTTGCTTTGCTTCGTCACTGTTCAAAGAAAATTAACTTCAGATTTTTACGTTTTATCGACATTTTATTCGCTTGAGTTTCAGCCAGAGTTTTGGCAGCACCTGCAAAAATAGAGGGAAATAATGAATAAGTAAAGAAATTATTTAGGAATTTTCTCAGTAGGTATGCCTGTCTTAAGATTATTTTTAGCCAAGTTTAAAACAAATCCAATATGTTTTAAATATATTGACTACACATAAGTGGTGATTAACTGCTGGTTAGCATTGCTAGGTAGGGGAATACCAATTATTACGCCTTAAGCTCCTAAATTTTCGTATAATCTCATTTTTATTAAGTTTGTAACTAGCTGAAAATATTTTTCAATTATTCTTTAGCATATTCCATACATTCTTTATTCAGAAAGCTTACCATAGCCCATAACCCATCATTTATGTAGATACAACTTGTTTCGTTTGCACATAAAACATGTTTTCATTTTCATATATCCAAAAAAAAAGAAGAAAGAAAACAATCAAAAATCCCAGCCTCCTTGTTATCAGCAACGCGTGAATGAATCATTCACATCGAGAGGCAGACTCCACACTTCCGAAATATATATATATAGACAGAGCTATGGATGTTGCATGTGTTGCCATATGTGGCATAAATTCATGTGGCACATGCAACAACATTCCCTCCCCCTGCTCTGTCCCAATCACCCAAGAAAAACATAAATTTACGAAATTTGTCTTGAAGCGCTGTAATAATGCGCTCGTAAATAACATGTAACGAAAACTAGCGCATATTTCAAAACGAAATTATTATTATTATTATTATGATTATCATGTTTAATTATGCTTATTAATAAGCTTTTGCTTGCGCCTTATAGAGCTGGAGGCGGGGGAAGATAGTCGGCGGCGAGAGTAAGAGCAGAGTGAGAAATTGTGTAGGCGCAACATTAAATAAGTAAGACTGAATGTGCCCGACTTGTAGATACCCTAGCGCAGATAGAAACAGATATTAATCTCTGTTTTCATTATAGATAGAGATACATATATAGAGACAGAAGAAGATGGGGCCAGTGAGACACATCGGACAGAGACTACTCAATATTTTGCTGAAAGAAAAAAGCCAATATACCCTCTTTAGCAATTGGCTGCAGAGCATAAAAAATCTGGCGTTTATTTTGGAATCGACACATGTATGGGAGAGAAAAGGGGCAATCGGAAAATGAAAGCCATGAACAATGTGACCCAAAAATGAAAACTGATATCGGAGAGCATTTGATTTATATGTTTTGTGCGTGCCCGACAAGTGCCACGAAGAGCTTTAATCAATTTGCAGGCTAATTGCGCTAATGCAATGCCTAATTGTTAATTGACATGTCAATGGGTGTGCATGTGTGTGCTTGTGTGTGTGGCAATGCCAAAGTCAGCGGACAGGAAGCAATTGTCTTGCTTTTGCAGTTTATGAGTTACGAGTTGGGAAGTTACGAGCTGCGAGCTGAGAGTGGAGAGCCACGAGGCACGAGCATATAAATAAAGCCATTAGCAACTCGTTGCTTAGTGCAACACGAGCTGTGACCCATTTAAATGTTTCTCCAGTTTTCCTCATTTTTCATACGAGCTTTACGTGCTTGCACAGTTCTCTCATTCTCTCTTTCCTTCTGTGTTGTCATCTCTCTCTCTCCCTCTTTATATGCCTTTGTCTGCTCAAATGTTATGTGGTTAACCAAGTAACCCCAAAGCCAAGCTTTAAGCACTTCAGCTGCAACTCTTCTCTGGCCAGTCTAAGTCTAAGCAAACAAGAAAGTTAGCGGGAAATCTAGCAGCAGTTGGCAATATATAATTCATAATCATAAGTCTAATAACTGCCCAATACAAGAGGTGATATATTAGCTGCTTATCACATTTCAACTATTTCATATCATTTTATATATTAAAGAAGCAACTCATAAAGTTTGTTCTTTATATCTGTCCTTATGACATTCACTCCTGCTATTTAACTAATGAATCAATCATATATTAGCCAATAAATCATAAATGTGAGTCAGGCAAAAAGACAGCTAAGCTAGTCATTCTCTTTACCTAATACTACCTGCAGTTGCGCTTACGAAGAGAAGAGTATATAGGTTTCGACTGAAGCAGAAACTGAATTTTACAAGTTCCAATTGAGATTGATCATACAAACTAAGGATGCAGGAAATCAGAAAAACTATATATTACAGACATTTCAAGGGCTTAAATCATGAATTCGCTCCACTAACAAATTAATATGGCCTTCATTATGGAGCGTGTCAACTCCGGAATAAATTGAATTGGAAGAAGCGTAAACGAGTATTCAACGAGTCGATCATGCCCGAGTGCAACATTGTTGCTCTGCCCGGCTTGGCTTATCATTTATTGCATTCGTATCTAATCTACCTTGGGCTAATGAATCAATATTTATGTAAAACAGCAGCTACAACAAAAACTTATTTCCGCACTTGCGGAAATTGCAATTCGACGTTCAGCAGCAACAACTCGAACAACAACTGGAACAACAACAACAACAACAACATCAACGACAACAGCAACTTTTTATCTTGAGAGGTCATTTACACTGCCCAGCAGCGACTTTGCTGGCTGCGCGTCGTTTTCTTCAACTTGTTCTCTCGATGCTTTTCACTGCGCTTTTCCAAATGCACGCACAGACAGCTGCACACACACACACATGTCCATACTAACATCTACACATACACATGCAAACACTCAAGTTCTTTAGGCAATCAGCTTTTGTTGTTAGCACTCATGTACATTGCTTTTGATACCCTGGAAATTCGCTGAAGATGATGAAACGGGTTTGATGATAAAGGCAGGGGTAAGCTTATTTTTCAGTGAATAGAGTATATCTGCCTAAATCGTTCATCTGCATAAGTTAATAAAGAACTTTTCTTGGATATCCCGGCTAGGCTGCAGGGTAACTGATAGTTGGTCAGCCTCTGCTAGAACACTTTTACAAGTTATTTTCTTCTTCTCTCCATTTGTCGCGCTTTTGTTTGTTTGCATTTATCATTCGTGCTTTGTGCATTGTGGCCCTTGCATAGCTTTTGTAAGTGCGTATCTGCGGCTGTATCTGTGCTGCTATATGTCACTATGTATCTGTGTATCTGTGTATCTTTGTATCTCGTTTGTAATTGCCGCGCTGACAGTTGCTGTCAGTGTCATAATCAGCCAGCGACACTTGAACCAAGTCTCAAGCCCTCAAGAGTGGCCATTGAATAGAAACCGACTTGGCCTTCACTTGTTCGATTCGAATCGTATATATACTCTAGATATTACTATATACACACGCATATATATATATGAGGCACAACAATTATCAGACGATAATTGTAGTAGACTTCTTGTGGTAACCATTTCATTTCCTCTATGCAAACATGCAAATTGTGCTCCACATTTTTGTTGCTGAACTTCTAGCGGAAACCACTCTCAAGACGAGAGGTTCACATATATACCAGATATATATGTATAGCATAGCATAAGTATAAGCTCAGTTGAGTAATGCTTTAAGAGAGCTGAAGTTTAAAGGCCAGCAGCCAAAGGGCAAAGCAAAAAGTAAACAAAGATGCGCAGCAGCAAAAGCAAAAGGCATAGAGAGATGAAGAAGCGAAGAGAAAACGTGAAGTACAGAGACAAAGAGGGAGAGAGAGGGAGATCGTCTGAGAAACGTGATGTGATCTACTCTACTCTGCAATCTACCGAGGCCCAGATTCTTGGCCAGTAGCCAAGCAAATTAACAAATCGTGCATAAAACGCCAAAAACAGGAAAACGACAATTTGCTCAAAAAAGCGGAAAAGCGTTTAAGCCAAAAGCCGACAGAGACAAGGAAAAAGGGTTTAAGGAACCAGCTACAGAAGGCTCACATAAGGTTGAAGTTGAAAGATGCGAGAGCAGAAAGGGAAGAGGAGGACACAAGAAAAGAATCCCGCATCACAGCAACAAATGTCAAATTGATTGTTTGCTGTTGACGCGCCCTAAGGGAAAGGGCATAATGACATTCAAGCAAAGGATGTTACAGATCAGAAGTAGGGCAACTAGGAAACCTTTAATATCCACTAGGTTTTGCCTTAGCTTCAGAAAACTGAAATTTTGAATATAGTCAATCAAGAGATTATTATTTTCTTCAGCTTATAACTATTTACAGGATATCTATGAATCGTAGACGTTTCTATTACAACTATCTACGCATAATTTTCCGCCCTATTTAAGTTTTGATCTGCGGCTGTTGCTGGATGTTTGCCTCTGCTTCGAGAAATCGACGTCCCAATGCGGTTTTCATTGGCGCCTTGAGATTTGCATCTGGTAAAGCGGAAGCTGTTGCTGATGTTGTATTCTCTTGTTGTTGTTGTTATTATTGTTGTTGTAGCTGTTGCTGTTGCGGTCCAAGGGCTGATACGTTAAATGGATTTGTGTACACGTTTGCAGTTGCATGCCGCACGTTCGCTTCAGTTTCGGTTTCTATTACAGGAAGTGACTTGACAGAGTTCGTCTGCACAGATATTCCTTCCATCAAAGGGAGAACAAGAGAGATAGCCAGAGAGGGGGAGCGAGAGTACTTCTAATTGCGACCCCAAAGATGTGCGCACACGCACAGCTTAACTGCACACTCAGTGTGTGTGTGTGTGTTGCATGTGTGCGTGCGTGTGTGTGTATATATATAATTATGCGTGAATGCGAAACAAGTTGAAATGTTATCGACATCGTGCCAGAGCAACACTTGCCCAGACTAAGCTCGAAAGAGGGAGAAAACTAATGGTTCTACGCAATGGGGAAGGGAGTTGAGTGTGAGTCGAGAGGAAATTCAAGTTAAAGATAAGCCCCAGTATTTATGCATACAATATACTCTAGATAAGCAGCAAATCGTTCAATTACTAA